CCTATGAACAGAGACTCCAATAAACTTTTGTCTTTGGTAGAGGGAAGAGGTAGCAAACAACTGAAAGGTCACCAGTTTGAGTCTATTATCTGCTCCTTGGGACAAAGAGGAGGAAATTTGTCCTTGTAAAGATTCATAGAGATCCATGAGATTCCTATGAGTAGGAATTGGACTTGATGATGATAGATTTAAGGAGAGAGTAAAAGGGCAGAAACAATTATAGACAAGACTTTCAAAATAGAAAAAAGATACAAACCCACAAATTGCAAAGCTCAGTGTACATCAAGAAGTATAAATACAAAGAGAAACATACTTGGAAATACCAAACTGCTGACAACCAAAGAGAAAGAGAAAAATCTTAAAACAGAAAAAAAAGAAAATACAGGTTACTATAAAGGGAGAATAATGTTAACAGTCTACTTCTGACTAAAAAAATTACAAACAAAAACCAATGAAAATGGCTTTATATTTTTAAGAATGAAATAAAGCTTATTAAAATTATCTCGATCCATTACATTTTAACAAACTTCTACCATACGTAATGAGTGCTATTTTAACAAATTCATATTGAGGGGAAAAACTGTTAATTCATGGAAATCAATGATGGTGGAAGTGACCTCTGAGATGATCTTTTAAATTTGAACTTTGGTAATACTGTCCTTCTAAAACTCACCTTTAAGTAAACAATAGTGTTGATTATTCTGTAAATAATTTTTTTTCTGTAGACATTACATTTTAAAGAATTGTATGCATCATTTTGACAATAGAAATCCAATGCTCAAAGAAAAGGTTGTTATAATGTAAAAAATATTCTGACAGATTCCAGTGTTGTTGTCGTTAAGTACCAGTCAAGTTAACTATGACTCATACCAACCCTACAAACAGAATGATACCCTATCGTGTATCATTCTCAGTTGCAAGCTCATTGTTGCAGTCAGTATCAACTAAACCAGTTGGGAATTGGCCTTGTTTTCACTGATCCTCTACTTTTCTAAGTTGTTTTTGGTTGTTTGGTTGTTACATTTTTTTTTATTTAACCAAAGACTGGTGCCTCATGACAGCATGCCCAAAATATGTGTATGAGATAATGTTTCATCTTTCTTGCCTCTAAGAAGTACCCTCTGTTTGTCCTTTTGGAAATCCATGATATATTCAACTTTTTGCCAACACTACAATTCAAAGGCATCCTTATTTGTTGACTATATTTCAACAAGCATATGAAGCAATGGATAACACCATGTCTAAGGTCAGACACACTTTGGTCTTTAAAGTGACCCCTTTGCTCTTTAACATTTTAAAAGGTATTTTACAGGAGATTTTATCAATGTAATTTGTCTTTTGACTTCTTGACTACAGATGTCATGGCTCTTAATTGTGAATTCAGGTAAAATGTAATCCTTGACAACATCAATGTTTTCTTTAACTATCATGATGTTACTTAATGGTTCAATTGTGAGGATTTTCATTTTCTTGATGTTGTGATGCAATTCATATTCAAGAGTGTAGTCTAGAGACTAAGATGTGCCTAATCAAGGCCATGGTCTTCGCCATTACTTGCTATTCATCAGAAAGCTGAACAATGACTAAGAATGACAGAAGAATCGATGTCTTCGAATTGTGGTGCTGGAGAAGAGTCTTGAACATACAGTGGGCCACAAAGAAAACAAATTCGTCTGTCTTGGATAGAGTGAAACCAAGTTTCTCCTTGGAGGCTTGGATTTTGAAGTTCTGTCTCACATGCATTGGATACGTGGCCAGGAGAGACAGATCCTTGGAGAAGGACATTATGCTCAGAAGGGTGAGGGGACAGCACAAGATAGGAAGACCCTGGATGAGATTAATTGGTACAGTAAGTGGGGCAATGGGTCTTGATGTGGCAGAATTCGTAAGACTGGCTCAGGACAGAGCAGGCTTCAGAACTGCTGTATGGGTCAAAGGTGACTTGATGGCACATAACAGCAACAGTCTTTGATCTTCTGCAGCAAGTGCTTCAAACTTTCCTCACTTTCTGCAAGCAAGCTTGTGTCATTTGTGTAACATAGGTCATTCATGAGTCTTCCTCTAAGCTTGACGTCATATTTTTCTTCATATAGTCCATCTTCTCAAATTATTTGTTAAGCATATTTGTTCAGCAATTAAGTGTTCTGAAATTCCAAATTTTTGCAATATTATTGATACTTTATTATAATATCCACAGTCAAATGATAACTTTTCAAAGTAAAAAAATAAGTAAACTTCTTTCTGGTGTTTTCTGCCTTCAGCTATCTTACATCTTTTGAATCTTGCATGAATATCTGACAGATTGCTGTTGATATAATGTATAGACATTTTTAATAATCATCAAAATATTTTAATTACATCTGAAACTAATAATATTGTTCACCAATTTCTGAATTCTGTCAGATCACCTTTAACTGCACTGATCAGGTATGGATCTCTTCTATTTCGTCATTTGTTACGGTATCTGTCTCTTCAATTTCTTGGCATAAACTAATGAACATTTCCAATGAGACATCTGAGTGCTCAAACATCACTGTTGGTAGCTTTCTATCAATTCCTGGAATCTTATTGTTTGGTAATGGCTTCAGTGTGCCTTGAACTTTTTTCATTACTACTGATTCTTGATGATAAGCTACTTCCCGAAATGGTGCAGCATCAAACAATTATTTTTGGTACAGGGATTTTCTGTAATAACTCTACTTTTGATGCTTCCTGCATTATTTAATATTTTGTTCATGGAATCCTTCAGTATTACAATTCAAGGGTTGAATGGATTGTGGTGGGTTTTTTTGTGTGTTTTGTTCGTTTTTGTAGTTCTTTCAGGTTAAGAAATGTTGAGTGTATTTTTAACTTTTGGTTTTCTAACTGCAAGTCACTGTGTAAGTATATTCTAATATTTTGCTTTGTCTTCCTGAATAGCGCTTTGAAAACTTCTGTTTAGCTCTCTATTTCATCATTGATAAAAGCCATTATTAAATAAATGTTTTTTGCTTTAACTTCTCTACTTCAAAGAGCAAGTCTCTTGTGACATCCATTTTGATCATTCTTTCCTGTCTTTGTAATGCTCTTTTGCTTTCTTTATGGATGATGTCTTTAATGTCATCTCACAACTGAACTGATCATCAGTTGCTAGTATTTAAGGGATCGGATCTAATTCTTGAGATGATTTTTAAATTTACATGAGATAAACATAAGGTCATATTTTGACTCTTGTGGACATGTTTTCATTTCTTTAGATTCAATTTGAATTTGCAAAGGAGTAATTGATCTTTAAGAAAATCAATTCTTGGTCTTGTTTTGAATGCTGATATTGAGCATCTCCACCATATCTTTCACAGATGTGTTAAATCTGATTCCTGTATTTTCTATCAGGTGAGGTCTCTCTCTCTATAATCACCATTCATGTTTATTTTAAGAGGCATTTGCAATGAATAAATCTTTGACTGTTCAAAAATTTATCATTGTCCTTCAAGTCTGAACTGACTCATATCTGAGCTTTCATTGGGTTTCTGAAGCTGCAAATTGTACAGGAAGACATGGAATGTTTTTCTTTTATGGAGCTGCTGGTGGATTCAAACTGCCAGAGAAATATGGATATTGGGTTAACAGGGAAACTCCCTAAGGACTAGCCCATCAGATCTCCATGCTTGCTGTTAATTTCTCTCATTTTGAACCTATGAGTCTTTAGGTCCTAGAGCCTACAGAAAGTGGAGTGTCTGACAGTTTATGCCCCCAAACAAAACTACTTAGAAAAGTCCAGTTACTTTAAATTAGGGAAAGATCAACTCGCAAAAGTTATTATATTCCAGAAGTCTCTGCAGGATCAATAAACCTCTGACACTACCTGTTCTCATGGCCTCAGCTTAGTTTCTTCCCTTATCCTACTTCCTCCTATTCCCTTACTGATCCCTCTGGTATCACCTTCTTAACAAATTGCTTGGAGCCAACATTTTGGCTCAACATCTGGTACTGGGAGAATTCAACATTCAACATTATATGTTGTACGGTAAGGGAGAATTTTTTTTTAAAAAAAATACTGATTTTATTCCCCATATACAAATACCAGTATGATTTCATTTTCTTTATTAGTTGTGCTGTGTGTAAAGTTTAGTCAAGTTGTAACTGATCCAGCAGGTTTTCGGAGTCTGTAAACTGCACCACAGGAGACTGCCCATCTTTCTCCCTCAGAGTAACTGGTGGATTAAAACTGAGTGCCTTTGAGTTAGCAGCAAACTCTTTGCCCCTAACTCAGCAAAGTTCCCTTTATTTACCAATGTTGTGCTAGACATGAATAGGAAGTCAACCATGCAAATGAATAAATACTGTTATATGTACTAATTCAAGCCATTATATTTGGCCCACTTCCCAATAACCTGAAGTTTTTTTCTCTGGGTTGTCATTCAAAGAACCACTAACTTTATGCTAGGTATCCTAGTAAAGACAGATGTCTCATCCCATAAGTTGTGGAAAACACTAACTGAGACTCTAAAAAGTTTGGCTTACCTCAGACCATCAATTAGGGCCTCCCTGCTTCCATCAAAGGAAGTCAAACCAATCCTAATTGACGAAATTCACAAAATACCCAGTGAATTCTCTTTCTTTGCTTTTATAAATTTGTATTATAAAAATTAAAGACTTTGCACTGAAATAATCGCTCAGAATGTCTTTGTTTGAAATTAGTTCTCCAAACTACAGAGCCTATCTTTCACACCAAAATTAGGCTGAATGTTCCTTTGCTAGCACATATAGCTACCCAGGGAACATTTGTTTTAAAGAGTCTGTTTTTGTTGGTTTGACAACATGAATGATTATATCTTAGGGGTAGAGGCATTAATCAAGTTTTCTATAGGACAATCTACATATGAAAACTGCTCAGAAATAGAAAAACAATTAATTAAAAGAATGTTCTTTCTTTTTCATATATTAAATGCATTCTAAAATATTATCAGCTTATTTCTTTTTCTCGCATGAAATAATTTCATCTGTTAAATAAAACTTACTCTCCAAGCTCACACGTTATTTCTCGCATCACGACTGGATTTGGCAATTTGGTAGTTATTTTCAGTAAATACCAAAACTCTAAGGCATCCTCAGGCTGAAAAATAATACTGTGTAGAAAAAGAAAAAAAATCCTGTCAGTGACTTTAATTTGTATAATGAATTTGGTAGAAAGAAATATCTCAAGTAGAAACAGGTGGCTTCAAATACATTATTTGGCAAATGTTCTATGACATATTTTACTCTCACAGTGAATAAATGGCCAAGTATCTCATTAGGAACATCAAAATTATATCATCCTTTGCCACCCAAGAAAAACAGTCAGTCACTAATATCTGATTGGCTATCACTACCTACTCAATGAATGGAAAAAATGCTTAAACATAAGTAATTTAAATGCCTAGTTGGAGCTATTAAAGGACAAGACCTGACTTCTAACAATGAGTAAGTCAATTTTAGATTGTAGACTTGAATACCTGGATGTTTTTAGGTAATTATTATCAAGTTACTTAAATCTCTGGCAGTCTTCCTTTTGCAAGTAGCATGTGCTCTATTCTGAGGGAGACAGACCTTGGAATAATCTAAACTTTTAACTGATAGATAAGTTCTGTGTCACCTATTATTTGGGCAACGTTAGTCAAGTCACTTACTTCCTTTGAGTTTCAATTAATTGTTTATAAAATGGAAGAAATTATTCCTGTCTCTTATGGTTGTGTAGTTGCTGTGGGAATTTTATGTGTGTAAAATTTAGATTCCAATGACAAAAACAAAGTAGCCAGTCAGTGAATATTAGTCAAGATTCTATCTTTTCATGTATATTGATACAGAAAGTTCAAGATTCATTTTCTTCACACCAAGGCAGTAAATCACACTTGGCAGATGAATCCAGTCTATATTTCTAATGGTAATCTACCAAAATTATGCTTGTTGCAATGTTATATTATCATATTCATGCTATTTAAAACAATCTTTTAAAATTTCATAAAAATATTTATTTAATCATGAATATATTAAGAAACAATTACTTGATTTGAATGATACAATGCTAGAAGCACCAATAAGAATTATTACTTGGACAAGGGATATAAAGTGATATAAAGATTTTTCATGTAGCATAATAATGATATGTATTACTCACATCTAGGCTAAGTCAATAATAGTTTTTAATCATAAATAAAATAATACTTTTTCAAAATAGTTTATTATTTTACTACAGTGGTTGTTAATAATGAAACTAGAGTTTACATGATTTTGTGTGTGCTTTATATATACAGTGCAACAAATGTTTTCCATGATTAGCATGCTATAAGAATACTGTCAACCCCCCACCCCCAAAACAAAAAAAAGCAAAGAGGAATACTGTCAGTATACTATATATATATTTGGAAGCAGGAGTGGCATCCACTTCCTAAACAACATGCCTCTGGAAATTTTGAAGTTAGATAAATGACAATAGTTATAGAAAGGCTTCAGACCTTTTGTTCATAGGGTCACTATGAGTCGTAAAATTTAATTCTTAGACTTTGCAAAATAATTTTCACTTGGTTCAACTTTTAACCCAGAAATATTTAAGCCATGCAAAATGAGGTGAAAGAAAGAATACTAATTATAAGAATTATTTAATGTGGAATTCAAAGAAATAATATTTTTCACTCAGGAAAAGATAACTCTAAAGCAACACATTTTACCAAGGCATGAAATTTTACAAGTCTGAAATTTTGACTAAATGAAATCTTAATAACTCTAGCATAAATAGATATAATAGTTTTAAAAGCCTATCTTGAGTGTTTAACAATTAAATATACATACAACTGTCAAGCCATACCTTTCTTCTCTATAGCCGGTAGCAGCTGGACAATAAGTGACAAGATATGAGAAATTTTGTAGAGGATTTATTGTGATTCTTTTGGGTCCACTAAGGGCATCACTTGTTAATTGAACATCTAAGTACATAGCAATATTTTTCGGATTGGAGAGAGGTAGCTCAAAGAGCATGGTTTCCTAGAATTTTAAAATATATGCAGAAGCTTCTTTTAGTGTCAGCACAAAGTTATTATTTTTCTAAAGAAGCAAATGAAAAGAAAACTCTCATACAAAATAACACCACTTGTTTTCCTTATTTTCTTGAACCACTTGATCTACTATGGAATGCATTTCATCAAATTTGATCTCTTATATACTTTCCTTGATTGTTGTTGCTATGTGTCATCACACTGACAGCCATTTATCCCTACGAACAATGGAACTGAACCCTACCCTATTCTGTGTCTTGGCAAATGGTAATATTCTGTTTATAGTTTTTCAATAGCAGATATCACAAGGAAATGCATGAAACAAAAGGCTAAATAGACTATCAAATTATATTTAAAATATATTTTCTCTATTATTGTTCTTAGGGAATTCTTGTGGCTCAGTGGAAAGGAGTTCCACTGCTAACCTAAAGGCAGTCTGTTCAAATCCACCAACTTCTCAATGGGAGAAAGATGGACAGTATCCTTCTGTGCAATCTGGAGGCTCTGAAAACCCATTGAAGAGTCAGCTATTAGTCAGTTCCAACTTGACAGCACATAACAAATTATCATTATTACTGGCAAGTCTAATTATCAGTGTTTTCAGTAACAGTTGTGCATAAGAATCACCAGAATAAATCGTTGAAACACATATTTCTAATATCTACACCAGATATATATACTGATCCAAAGTATCTGGGAGATGGCTTAAGAATTTTTTTTTTCTAAAAAGCTTCAATTAATGCTGTGGCTGCTGCTTCTACTGATTTAAAGCACTTTTAATTATATTTTACATTAGTTAGAATCAAGTAACAAAGACCATCATAGCTAAAAAGTCAAATTATGCTGAGAATACAAATTACACTGCTTGAGCTTCTCGAATTAACTTTCTAATTTATTTCTCATATTTTCGCTTGATTCGACATTGACTTCTCCTTGACCTATAGCTTTCTCCTCTTAGCAGACTCAATTTTTTAAAATTTTATTTTATTAATTTTAATGAACATTTACAGAGATATTGGATTTCCACTCATTCGTTGTTGCACTTTTCTTCTTGCACAGCCCTCCCCGCCCCCAGTTCACTCCTCTCTTTTAAAAGTAAAATTCTTTCTTTGGTATACAATCCCCCCCACATCCCCCGCACTGCCACTATGCAACATAAATTCTGGACTCTTGTAATAACCATAATACCTTATAATATATTGCTTTTTAAATTATTCTCTCCCTCATCTATTTCAATGCAGTGTACATAATTTATGCAGTTTTTCTCAGTCTTACCCCAACCCTGATGTCAGTCCCATTCTACAACAGTGGCACTATGTAGTATTTGTCCTTTTGTGACTGAGATATTTCACTCAGCATAATGTCCTCCAGGATCACCCATTTTGAATAATACTGCATGAGTTTCTTGTTTTCCAATGCAGTGTAGTATTCCATTGTGTGAATATACCACAGCTTCTCTATCACTTCGTTTGTTGATGGACACCTGGGTTGTTTCCAATTCCTTGCTATTGTGAACAAAGCCGAAATAAACATGGGTGTGCATATATCTGTGTGGATGTCAGTTAAGGTCTCTTTAGTATATATTCCCAGTAGTGGAATCGCTGGTTGAAATGGTATCTCTACTTGCAACTTATTGAGAAAGCACCATACTGCTTTCCACAGTGGTTGCACCATTTTAGGCTCCCACCAACAGTGAATAAGGGTTCCAGTTTCTCCACAACCTTGCCAGCATTTGTTGCTTGCTGTTCTGTTAAATTTTGCTATTCTGACTGGGGTGAGATGATATCTCATAGTTGTCTTGATTTGCATCTCTCATAGAGCTAGGGATTTTGAACATTTCTTCATGTGCTTGTTGGCCATCTGAATGCCTTCTTTGGTGAAGTGTCTGTTCATATCCTGTGCCCATTTTTCAATTGGTTTATTTATTTTTATCTTGTTGTGGTGATCAAGTATTTGAAAAATTCTAGATAAAAGTCCTTAATCTGACATGTCACTTCCAAATACTTTTTCCCAGTCCATGGCTTCCCTTTCTACCATGTTGGAGAAGTTTTGGGATGTGAATAGGGATTTGATTCTTAGAACGTGCCATTCATCTATTTTATCTTCTCCTGGTTGTAGATTTCGCAGGACCCTGGTAAGACTGTTTATGTTCTGGATTAGGACTACTAGAGTTCTTCCAAGCTTTTCTTTAATGAAGTTTATAGTTCTTGGTTTCAGTCATAGATCTATGATCAACCTGGAGTTGGTTTTGTTGTTGTTTGTTTTTTTTTTTATGGAGTGAGGCGTGGATCTTGTTTGAGTCTTCTGCAGATATTTTCCCAATTTTGCCTACATCATTTGTTAAAAAGGTTGTCATTTCCCCACTTAACTGATTTCATCTCCTCGTCAAAAATCAGTTGACTATAGGTAGAGGGGCTAATTTCCAGTTTCTCAGTTCTATTCCATTGATCTATGTGTCTGTCATTGTACCAGTACCATGCTATCTTAACCACCATGGCAGTGTAGTAGGATTTGAAATCAGGGAGTGAGATGCCTCCTACCTTTTTTCTATTTTGAAGGAGTGCTTTGCTCATTCAGGGCTTCTTTCCATTCCCAATGAAACTGGAAATTACCTTTTCCATCTCATTGAAGAATGGGATTGGTATATTTATTGAGGTTGCGTTGAACGTGTAAATTGCCTTTGGTAGTATTGTCATTTTCACAATATTGAATCTTCCTATCCATGAGCAAGGGATATTCTTCCACTTCTTCAGTTCTCTTTTTGTTTCTTGTAGTAATGTTTTGTAATTTTCTTTGAATAGATCATTTGTGTTTACGGTTAGATTTACTCCCAAGTATTTAATCTTGTGATTCACTAGTGTGAAGGGTATTGTTTTTCTTAGTTCAGGCTCTGTATTCTCATTGCAACTGTCGAGAAATCAAACTGATTTTTCTACATTGATCTTGTTTCTTGAAACAAATGACAATTAAAACACTACTTAACAAAACCTCTGGGAAACAGCCAAAGCAGTAATCAGAAGTCAGTTTACAGCAACAAGTAAACACATCAAAAGGCAAGAAAAAATGACCATTGACTCTCTAACTCAACATCTTCAGCAAATTGAAAAAGAACAGAAAGAAAACCCAACACTCTATAAAAAAACTGAAATTATAAAAATTAGAGCAGAAATAAATGAAATAGAAAACCAAAAAACGAAACAATCAACAACACCAGGATTTGGTTCTTTGAAAAGTTCAATAAAATCGACAAACCATTAGAAAAACTCATGAAAGAAAAGAAAGAGAAGACACAAATAATGCAAATAAGAGATGAATCAGGCAACACCACAACGGAACCAACTAAAATAAAAAAGCTAAAGTTATAGAGAAAGATGGAATTCTCCCAGATTCATTCTACAAAGCAAACATATCCTTGACAGGAAAGCCAGGAAAGGAAACCACCAAAATAGAAAACGATGGGTCAATATCTCTTATGAATATAGAAACAAAAATCCTGAATAAAATTCTGGCCAATAGAATTCAATAAATCAAAGAAATACTTCACCATGACCAAGTGGGATTCATAACAGGTGCGCAAGGATGGTTCAACATAAGGAAAACAATCAATTTAATTCATTACATTAACAAAGCAAAGAAAAAGAAACACATGATCCTATCAATTGATGCAGAAAAAGCCTTTGACAAAATCCAACACCCTTTCCTGATTAAAACAGTTAACAAAATAGGATTAGAGGGATTTTCTTCAACATAATAAAAAGTATTTATGCAAACCCTAGAGCCAACATTGTTCTCAAAGGAGAGAGGTTAAAGGCATTCCCTTTTAAGAGCAGGAACTAGGCAAGGATGCCTACTTTCACCTCTCTTATTCAATATTGTATTGGAAGTCTTAGCGATAGCAATAAGAGAAGGAAATAAAAGGTATCCAAATTGGCAATGAGGAGGTAAAATTATCTCTCTAAGCACATGATATAGTATAACTAGAAAACCCTAAAGACTCAGCAAGAAAACTATTGGACATAGGTGACCAATTCAGCAGACTAAATTTTGGGGATAAGTCCTTTCAAGATTGCTGAAGACTGTTTTTCTTCCACAGAGTAGAGACCATTTTGAATCAGTAATTCTGATTAATCCCTAGCCCTCTCATACAAAGACTAAAATTGTGTGATAAGCTTTAAGTGTCTGGCCTCACTTGATGTAACAGAATATCTGTTGCCTGAATATCCCATGAACTGTCAAAAGCAGCAGCTAATGTGTCTCAGAGAACATGCAACAGAGTGCTCCTTGGAAGAAAGGATGGTAAAACTTTATCTCATATATTTTGAGCATATTGTTTTAGGGGTCTGGGCCTTTGAAAGGAACATAATGCTTAGAAAGGTGGTGGGGGTCAATCAAAGGGTTAACTTTTAACAAGATCGATTGACAGTGACTGTAATAATGGACTTAAGTATATCAGAGATGATGGGGATAGCATAGAATAGGGCATCACCTAACAACAAATTTCACTCAACAAAATCTTCTCAAAATTCATACATGTTGTATGTAGTATGTGCCTGGATTCCACTTCTATTCATGGCTGAGCAATATCCCATTGTATGTACATATCACATTTTGTTTCTCATTCAGTTAAAAAGCATAAACTTAAAAAACAAACACAACTTTTGTTTTATTATGCAATCCATGGATAGTTGTGCTGTCAACTGTTTTAATGGTTGGATAGGCAATCTCCACCTGTGTGATTTACAGCCTCCATGGCCATTGCAATAGGTCATTTCTTTTTCCTTTTTCTTTTTTTGTAGATAAGGGCAGACATATTGCCTAGAGTCTTGATTCAGCACAATAGCCAAAATCCTGTCTTTGCTGCCTATGCTCATCAGTAACAAATGACAATGGGCTTTACTAATCCAGCATGTTGTTATCATAGCTGACCCTCCAGTGGGTTTTTGGAGGCAGTAAATCACATGGGAAGAGGTTGTCCCTCATTTT